TGAAGGAGTTATCGGGGGCAGTCCACTCTCTCTCGTCTTAGCGGATTGAGATGCTTGAATTCTTCGCATGTTTCCCGAAACGTTAGACCCGTCGCGTTCAGTCAGACCACAGTTTGTTACCATCTTTCAAGTCTAGCTTACAAGAACTGTCAACTGTGGTTCGTTTTTCCCGATAGACTGAAGGTCAACACAGAGCGGTTGACTTTCCTCACCAGATTCAGGTCTGTTCGTGTATGCGATAGGACCTGCGAGTACTAGTCACATCTTGTCACTTGACACAGTTTCAGGGATCAAAAGTACAGATGAATCACAGCTGAAGTTTCTACTCAGAGCTGTATTTCCAGCCCAGTGCATCAGTTAATATGTTTCCAAACCTCTGACGGCATTGCAAGCATTCACTCCCCATGTTGAAATCAACTAGGACTGTCTATCATTGCAAGCGCACTTGTGATGCCACTTATGTGGGTGACACGCGAGCTTACATATAATAGAAGTGGAATTGTACCTATACGGTACCTATACGGCTGTTATGCTGTTTATCTTCACAATCAACCATGGTCCCACCATATCCCTCGAGAACAAAAAGGCTTCAAACGTTGGCAGTCGCAGAGACAATTCGCATCTGTCTCAGGAAGCATGGATTGCTTGTGTAATAACTGTTGATTGAAGCAGAAGTAAAAGAATACAAAATCACTTTTGTGAACATTAAGAGCGTGTCATAAGCTATTCTGACTGTGTAATCCAAATAATGCACACATCTGGAGTTGATTTGGATTCATTACACTACAATTGACCTGTCATCTTTTCTGTTTGACCTTCATTAACTTTATTTCATATACACAAATATGATTCTGTTGGTGGAAAAATGAGAAACTCACCCCGCCCGAGCACGTTTAGTTAGTCTCTTAGGTCTGTGCTCATCGTATCCCAAGTTCAGCATGCAATCGCCCGGCTTGCTTATCTTGATCGACAACACTCTGTTGACCGTCACGCGTGTTCGTGAGCTGTATACCCATTCATGTCAGTTGAACTCTATTCAGAAGTCAGGTATTCGCAGTCCCAATAAGTTCGGTTCGAAATGAGTACCAAACAGTGCCAAGTCATTTGTCAAGCTGTCGGCACACGAATTGCTGTGTTGCGTTTAGCTTAAATAATTCATCAATTACACGGTCAAGTTGACAATACGTTTGCTTGTGGAACGTACGCATGCAGCCGGTTTGTGAGCCAGAGAGCAAGCTACAGCTGTTCACGCAAATATACCAGACTGGACCTTGAATTAGTTGTCCCAAAGCCTCAGCTCACCAAACTTTTATACAAAACCATGCAACTAACGTACCCTGACTATTTAACATAACGTTGAACGCTGAATTTTTCACTAAACAAAATCACAGACAGGGAACACAGATAGTGCATGGAAGTTATCTCGACTAAAGCGAGTGACGAGAAACTTCTCATCCCGACCACTTGAACAAAATCAAACAAATCGTATGTTTTACTGATCGATTCGAACAGCTGTAGTCCCTTGTGAGTATCGCGTTACATTCTGAGCCTGGGTTCTCATGGGAACTCAGTTTTGACCTTCTTCCGAAAAAACCAGCAGGTCTGGGATCTGTATTCAGTCGAAATGGGCGTATCTCAAACTAAGGTGTAGAAAGTTATTACTCTAGAACCAAGTATTTGTTATACGATTGTATGATTCTTCGGAATAATCTGTCGATATTTTGTGTAGTATTCACCAAATTGTTCCCGAATCAGAAATATGAACGGGATAAAACGTTTAGTATTAAAATTGCGGGGTCGATACTCACAAAGATGAGAGTTGTGTCACATCGTGCATAGGCAAAGTAAAACAGTATGATCTTCTGTTCGTTAATCACTTGGACATTGCTTCGGGGATTCCTGGTTCGAAACCACGGATTTGCACTGTGGGTGAAACTTACGCAAGAGAATACACACCTATGAAATTCCTCCTGTTTTCTCAGTTCACGGTTGCTGTAATCTGCATACGGCGAAATTCACCTCAAAATTATAGATAAATTGATTCTCATCCATAAGTCACCTGATTTACGTTTCTGATGAAACTACAGCAATACTATGCGGATCCCGTGTTATATATATGTGTGTGTGTGTGTCTAGCAGCACCAATGCATTGAACCCAGTTGGTCCTTTTAGCTCATCACCGAGTAGAAATAATCTGAATGTGAACGGAGAAGGGAACACTTATGAATTGAATATTGATGTCGCAGACTTATGATGGACTGTCATTGTGTCGCATAATAAATACTTCCACGCCCCCCTAGTTTGTTTGTACAATCATTCCACTTAAGACCTTCCTGATCGTGCCTGATTGACGGCTCATTTACAAAGTCCATATTGGACAATGACAGGGACTGAGATTAGGTTCAGTCGGGATGACAATTTCGACATGTGTCTTAGAGGTTTTCTGTTTATATCACAGCACATCAAGTAAGTCACTCTTGATTTCGTTCCGAACTGTTATTCGTGTATTCGAATCGAGGCAATTAGGTAAGAAAAATTCGTTCCAATTTGCATACAACTGGAACAGGATCTGATACTGCCGAGGTCTCAGATGACTACCGTCGTACTATTATCGGTACAAGAACTAGGAACACCACCACCACCATCAGCACCATGACCACCACCGCCACCACCACCAGCAGCAGCGGCAGCAGCACAAATAGCATTGGTGCTGGCCGAGTGAATAATCTAGTAATTATCCACGATGAAATCATCACAACGGCTGACCTATGCATCATAGGGATTGTTGTATTTTCACAAACTTTGACTTCTCACAAGCAGAACTGATTTAGATAAATGTGCATGCAGTTTAATGTGCACAGTGAGAGAGAGAGAGTGAAACTCAAATAGGCACACACACGTACCAAGTTAGTAAATTCGTAAATACACGGTGTAATTTGTTCAAAATAGGTCGTATACGGAGACAAGTGAATCTGTCCGAATCTCACAGGGGGACGTCCCCGTCCATCTTTTACGAGCGAACAAAGTAACGGACACTTGCGTGCGTGTGTGTGCTTGTACGTGCCTGCATTAATGCTAACACATTGGTGCCTATGTGTGTGTGAGTGTGCGTACGCATCTGTATATGCGTGGGAGCCATCAGTCTCCGTGAGTTCAATCCAGTAAACACAATACATGTGGCTCCAACTGAACCGTTCTAAAGCTCGTGTGTACATACTGCGTTGTGTGTACTTAAGCGAGTGAACCTCGACGCACTCGATAGGTCGTTCAGGGAGAGGTGAAATGGTTGTTAGCTGCTGACCAGGACATTCTGACCAGTACATCGTTATATTGGTATATATATAAGCATTCGTACGGATCAACTCTCCAGTGTCCTTGCGATTCGGTTCTACTCACCGATCACAGTGAACACCGCTCTGGACGCTAGGAATATTTGTAAAATTAACAACTGCTGATCGGTTGCTTACACACCCTTTTACATTGGCCAGAAACAAGCACACGACTTCAAAGCACCATGACCAACTGTGAAACGTGTCGACAACAAGGTTTACTGGGCTATGACAGTTATGGTGAGCCTATCTTCCGACCAAATGAAGACCCGGCAATGCGAGATCAAGTGAGTCACTTCTGATTGAAATAAATGCTTAACTCTAAACTGCACAATCTTTCCCAAAATTCTTACCACTCATGAACCAAAGCCCTTAAAATCATAGGCAACGAATTTCGAAGGCCTCGTTTAAATTTCTCCCCGGGGGGGGGGGGGGGG